GCTGTGGCGGCGCTTTTTTGGCCGAGAGCGCTTTGGCCCGACGCGGTTCGCGCCCCCCGAGTCGCCCCCAATGCGGAATCTCGGGGCGGTTGGGGGTAGGGGGAGGCGGTTGGAAGGCGCTAAGATGGCGCTGGGTCTGGCCCGTCGCCAGAACTGGTGGCGCAGTTGCTCGGCGGGCGCCATCTTCCCTCGCGGCGCGGGCGGCGCCCTCCGTGGAAGCCTCGCCAACCCGGGCGAGCCCCGAGCGGGGTGCTGAATTCTGGAGACCGGGCCGTATTGCCGAGGCCGGGTGTCTCGCAGCCTTCTTCCCCACGCCCCCAGACCCAAAAGACGAGCCACCGGTTCGGAGCGGGAAGGGGCTGGGGCCGGCATGCTGCTTATTCCCACTTTTGTTCCCATTCTTTCTTTTGGCGGCTGGCCGGTACGGGGATCGGAACCCTCGACCTCGGTGTTACAGCGTCGCGCTCTAACCGACTGAGCTAACAGGCCAGCCCCCCACTTTTTTTGAGGGAAGAAGCGGGCCGGGGGTCAGGCCTCGCGGCTGATGGCTTCCCTCGCTGACCCCCACATCCTCCCGTCAAAATTGGAGGTGAGGAGTTACTGTCATCTTCTCTCCTACGACCTGAAACTGGATGGCTTTGTCTTCCCTATCTCGGCTGAGGACAGGGCATTGAGGCTCTACCTTCATCCTTTTTCAGTTGAGAGTCAAACCAGATTACAAAATTGCAAAAAGAAACTAAAAAACGAGTCGAGGATAGTGTCTATCTTCCAGTAACATGATTCTCTATAGAATACCCTACGTTTTATTTTTTAGTTAGTTGTATTATGAAAGCAATCCTGGAGAAACATTTATTTAGTCGTCAATTGTTGGAATGTGACGGGTTCCAGTAATTTGAAACTTCTTGTTAGCTTTCATTTTACTTGAAGTTGTAGTAAATTAAGTTTTCAGAACTCTGAACTGAAAATTAAACTCGCTTTTAAAAACACTCCAAGACTTTTCCTTTCTCTCTTAAAAAAGCAACTGCAGTTTCCTTAGAACCATTGAAGTGTTCATCTGTTGGGTACTAGCTCTGTATTAGAGATGGGGGGAGGGGTAACTTTTAAATTGAAAAAAGGTTGGTAAAGCCCTAGGAGTCTACAGAGATGGAAAGTCAATAGTTAATTTCTAGTGGATAAAAGTAGCAGTGGCACCAGTAGCTGTGTCCTTGTGTTTATAAAGACAATGTATATGGTGGATGTTTCAGACCCTTTAATAAGACCTACCTTATATTGAACACCTGCTATATGCCAGGGACTGTGCGTGGTGCTTTATAAAATTCCTGTTTCTCATATAAGCCCTGTAATGTTGATTTTATTATCTATTTACCAGGGAAGGAACTAATACTAATAGAGATTACGAATTTCTGGTTGTTCAAAGTCTTGCAGTTTTAAGTGGTAACATTGGCATTGAATCCCAAAAGCCGTGTTCTTCACTCTATGCCCATGGTTTCCAAATCTGAGCATCAGAATTAACTGGGGAGATGTTTTAAAATAGATTTATAACATCAGCCAGGGCCAGCTGGTTCCTTTAATAATGTGTTAATCTGTTTTAACCTCTGAATTCCAACTTCTTGATGTCCCTAACACCCTCCAATATTGAAATTCTGGCCTACCCAGTACCTGCTAAATCTGGATATCTAGGAGTCTGTGTTACTCCAGAGTTCTTCAGGTGATTCTAGTGTGACACAGGTAAATGTTTGGAATATCCTGTTTTACACTGTGCACTGTGCTGCTGGCTCTTTTTTGAATTGGAATATGAGAATTGGGGTCCATATCATTTTGAGTTTCTGCACAGTTTTATTGTTCACGTCATTCTCATTTTTATTTTCCCCTTCCTAACTGCTGTTCAGCAAATTATCGAAATTATTTTCATACTGAAAGAAGGTTTAGGTATCCTGTGACTTAAGTGAGAAGTTATGTAATACAGACTTCTAGGTGTAGCCCGGCCATCTAGTTTAGTTAAGACAGCTGTGCAACAAAAATAGCACTGAATCCAGAATTGATACAGAAATTAGAAATAGGGTAGGAAAGATTCCGAAATAAGGACCTAGTGATAAATCCTTGTAAGAAAGGATCTTTTACTGAATTTTGAATTGTGGACGTATCTTCTGGGTTTTGGAAACTAGGTTGGGCAAGTTATTCTAAACATGAAACTTTATAAGAACAAAATAATGGATAAAAGTTGAAAGGAAGAAACACCTAGAGCAGGTGATGAATAGATGACCTGACTAAAATGAGAGAGAACCAAAATAGTGATGAAATCACTAACTTCTCTGGAGCAAGGATTATGTTTTTTACTTATTTTGTGCATTTCCTTCTTTATTCTTAAATCCCATCGTTTTTAGTAATTGCTAGGGGGAATGGTTTGTAATGGTAATGTAAAAAACTTATATTTTTGATGATGTTAGAATTATACCATCATAGCATTTGTCCACATTTCTCTTTCCTTCCACATTTGGAATATTTTGTAAGGAGCAACTATTGAATACCTGTGTGCAGTCTGTGTTCAGATTAAACCACTGGGTGGGTGGTGTGAGTTTTCCAATGTATCATTTTTCTCCCCTTGTTTATCATGGTAAATGCCAAAATAATTAAAATCTTTGACTAAAATCCAATAAAGTTTGAAATGAGGGGAAATCTAAAACCTGCTTAGAAGGAAAGAGTAGCTTCTTTATTTTAAGGTGGCCTTTAGTGGAATTCAAGACAGACAGGATCTCTACACTCAAAGGGAGTAATATAAAATGGGGAAGACAGAAAATAAGTAAATGATCAAGATTCAGATTAAGAAAAGTCATAAGAAGTGGCTGGTGGCTGTAAAAGTGTTGGGAATGACTATTTTGGCTAGTAAGGGGCAAGGAGAGTCTCTCTGAGGAGTAGATATTTGAGCTGAGACTTGAAACATAAACTTGTGCTAGCCATGTGAAAAGCTGGGGAGACTTTCCAGGCCTGGGAGCTAGTGCAAAGATGTGGAAGATGGAGTGTTAGAATAGAAAGAAGGCTCCTGTGACCAAGGGGAGAATGAATTGGAGAGACTGCAGGGCCTGTTGTATTAGGCCATATGGGGATTTGGGGATTTTATTCTACTGCAATGAAAAGCTGTTGAAGGGTTTTAATTAGGGCGGTGATTATTTGTTTTTCTTTAAAAACTGGCTGCTATGTAAAGGAAGAGAGGAAGCAGAGAGGGAATTTGGGAGGCTACTGTGGTAGTCAGCCCAAGATTGATGGCGTCTTAGGCAAGTAGTGGCAGTGGAGATGAAGAAAAGTAGATGGCAGGATTCAGATGTATTTTGGAGGTGGAATCAGAAGGATTTGGTTAATGGGTTGGCTGTGGAGGGAGGAAT